TCTGCCCCCCTTGTCCTTCCGTCTTCTCGTTTTCTTTCTTCCTTCGTTCTCGGCAGTGTCAAGATTTGTCTTTGTTTTCCCGGAGCGGCGGCGGCGGCGGTGGTGGAGTGGTGGTGCGGCGGGAGATTCAGGGAGATCTAGCTCGATCTGCCTCTGTTCTTGGAGCTCGAGGGCGCGGGGAGCCGAGATGGCGGCGCAGGAGCAGGAGCAGCAGGCCAAGACGAGCACCACCAGCTCGCTGCCGTCCAGCAGCGACCGCTCCTCCAGCTCCGGCCCCAACAACCTCAAGGAAGGAGGTACCCACCGTCTCTCCCTCCACCCCGCCGCTCTTTTGCTCGCTCGCTCGCTCGCTGACTGAATCCGGCAGCTCAGCTCGAGAGTCGAGACGCTGACGACGCGTGTCTATGTGTATGATGTGGTGGCAGGCGCGGAGAGCGACGAGGAGATACGGCGGGTGCCGGAGATGGGCGGCGGGTCGGCGTCGTCCGGCGCGGGGGACGGCAAGCAGCTGCAGCTGGCGGCGGCCGGGGGCGGGCAGGCCCCGGCGGGGAAGAAGCGCGGGCGCGCCGCCGGGGACAAGGAGCAGAACCGGCTGAAGCGGCTGCTGCGGAACCGCGTGTCGGCGCAGCAGGCCCGCGAGCGGAAGAAGGCCTACATGACGGAGCTGGAGGTCAAGGCCAAGGACCTCGAGCTCCGCAATGCCGAGCTGGAGCAGAAGGTCTCCACCCTCCAGAACGAGAACAACACGCTCCGCCAGGTACCGTATCCACCCCAGATCCTCCCTCCCAGCACAATTGTCTCACTGTCAGCGGCCATGGCGATACTGAATCTTGCATGCGTGTGCGTTTGCAGATACTGAAGAACACGACGGCGCACGCCGGGAAGAAGCCGAGCGGCGGCAAGGGGGGAGACGGCGGCAAGAAGCACCACCACCACTTCGGCAAGGGCTAGTAGCAAGACCGAGCTTCTCTGCTGCGACGATGGTTGCTAGGAACCACCCAACGTCTGCCCATCTGACCATTGTTAGGACACTGCTGTTGTTGTTTGCTGCCGCAGTTTGACGCTTGGCTTGTCTTCTTCTTCTTTTTCACTCCTCTCTTCTCCACGGTTGCTCGGTCGCCCGCTTTTGATGTCTCACTGTCACTGTTGTGTGTTCCCTGTCCATGGTAGCTTGTTGTTAGGAATGTTGATCTATGTGAACATTGGTTGTGTATTGTACTGTACTGTTCTCTTCTCTTCTCCACCGTTACAATTTGGCTTCTTCGCAAAGCTGGTCGCTGAAGCTGCGCAGGGAAAGAGCTTCAAAAGATGAATTTCAGTTCAAATCCGATGGCCCAAGCGAAATCTCTCTCGGTTCTAAAAGGAGGCGCAGCCGCTTCGAGTGGCTCAGAATTCAGCAGATGATGGGAGGCAACAGTGTTTCTATTATTTGACTGGATTTTCTTTGACAAATTGTTGGTGATGTGTGTGAATCAGCCAAAGGCGCTACCTGTGCTTAGTCAAAGAACAGATGTCCTGAAAATGCAAGTAGTTACTGACGAATCCACCACTGAATTCAGAACAGCTGAGGAGCTACTGTATATGACTTACGATTGCCTGATGCAGGATAAGCTGCACCGTGAGGAGGTATTGTAGAGGAATTTGACTTGCAAGATGCAGAGGGAAAAAGAATGACAGAATTTACAAGAACACCGCAACGGCTGTTCTGTTCATGCTTGGCATTCTTGTAGCCAACCCAACACAGACCCACAATATCGATAGGAACAGTCAGGGAGGGGACCCTGATATAACAGTGCTAAACTGAACCACTTCCACTTCATTTATTTATCCCGGTATCACACAGTACATCATCAAATTACTAAGCCCCAAAACTTTTTCGGCGTGTATGGTCCGCCGTAAAGTGAGTGACTACTACCATGGTTCAGGTCTTGCTATCCTTAACGAACTACTTTCTTCAAACACTAAACTTTGACCGACTCTTAACCACCTTCAGCCTTTTCCTTCAGAAAATGTAAAGTTACCGTGCGCGTATCAGTAGCACCAACACCGTGGCAGATCCGAGAGCACTTCACATCACATCTACCAGTAATTTTTCGGCATTATCGACGGCCAGACTCACTCAAGAAGCCTCAACGGCATGGAAGAATTTGCTGGAGGATCTATTCGTTGGCTACGCGTGCGTCGCTCTGATCGTGTACTCCGCCACAAGCTTTGAGAACAGAGACGACTTGTTCTCCAGCAGCTTGGCCGGCGTGTCACGCTCCACGGCCACACCTGCATAGATCGGCACAGCGTTTGTCAGACCAACAGGTATGCCAAGCACATGGGATTAGTAGAAGAATTAGCAAGGCGCGATTGCGTTTGTTTTAATGGGCTGATTGCTGACCGTTGTCGAGGAGCAGAACCATGTCGCTGTCGAGGACCGAGGTGATTCGATGCGCAATCGTGATGACCGTCGCCTCCGAGAAGTTCTCACGTAGTGTTTTCTGAATCATGTTGTCTGTCGCGGTATCCACTGAAGCAGTGGCTTCGTCCAGAACCAGTATCTTGGTCCGTTTCAGAATCACTCTTCCAAGACAGACTAGCTGGCGCTGGCCCACGCTCCAGTTCTCTCCGTTCTCGATCACTGCAAGGCAAAATAACATGATTTTTCAGTTCAAAAAAGCAGCAGCACGTGTTATAGTTTTCAAATCTTGGAAGAGAAGAGATGATACTGGGAAATGTGTGAACGATGAGCAAATTTATTTTTTTAACAACAAAAGGCGCACGAAGCGCCAAACTTTCCATTCAGCTCAGCTCAATAGCGACATACAGCATGGATTACAAAGCAAATTAAGTTTCAGACTTTCAACTGCATGACTGAAAATAAACATATCACATATCAGACCTGGTGAGTCGAGTTTCAGCTCCTTCTTCCTGACCTCATCTCCCAGCTGACAGTTATCCAAGGCCTGAAATGGAGCAAAAGATTCAGACTGCAACTTTCCAAGAGGTTCTCGACTATTTCGCAAGTATTTGACGACTGACAAGAAATGAAGCATGTGAAAGCGAAGCTACCTCCCAGATCTGATCGTCATTGTACTCGTTAAGAGGGTCAAGGTTGCTCCTCACAGTTCCCTCAAACATCGTTGGATCTTGTGGAATGATGCTAAGTCTAGATCTCAGATCATGCAGCCCGATGGTGCAGATGTCAACACCATCTACCAGTATCTGACCGACAGTAGGCTCGACAATACGGAAAAGGGCCTGTATGAGTGTTGATTTACCACTGCCTGTTCTTCCAACAATACCAGTCTTCATGCCTCCAGGGAAAGTGACGTTAAGGCCCTTCAGAACAAATGGTAGTTGTGGAGCATATCTTACCTGCAGAAATTTGACAAGTTAATGATGAACACTATCTAGAATAAATTGGTTAATTTTTTTTTTTTACGAACAAATTGGTTATTTTTCATTTGACAAAATGCTGAATTTACAATTCGTTTCCCATCAGACTGGATTTCTAATAGTTGACTCACAATGGCAAAAAGTATGAAATTTCTGCATAACAACACGGTAAAAGAAAAGGAGAACATAATTAAACAGGAGGGAAAAAAAGAAAGAGTACTTACATGGACGTCACGAAGCTGAATTTCTCCCTGTGACGGCCAGTTATGGGGCAACTTATCTTCTGACATTGAAAGTGGGGGCTCTTCAGGAATGCTTATGTATTGCAGAATTCTTTCTACTGATATGATCTTGTTCTCCAAATTGCACATGCTCCACACAACCCATGCTTGCAGCATGTTCAAGTTAAGCCCATATGTGACCGCGAGACCAGCAATACCTGAAAGCAGGATGTAGATTTAGTTGCAAGCCCATATCAAGTCACGTCAAATCTGCTAACGTTACTTGGTATAAATATTGTTCCGAACTAGTAACATCCTAACCTGGATCGATGATACCAGTTGGTAGACTGATCAGAAATACCAAAGCGAATGCAAATGTGAAGGACGACAGCGTATCCAAGCGGAAACAAAGCCACTCCATTGCTGCAGCATTGTAGAATTTCGGTCGAGAGTAGGCATCCATTAGATGGCTATTAGTTGATACAAACTGATGTTCTTTGCCAAAACTTCTGATGGTGGTTGATCCAGTAATTGATTCAGCAAAATGTTGTATGATAGGAGCTTTGCAAACCCCTACCAGCCTTTGCAGCTCTCTGGCCGTCTCAATGTAGTAGCGCTGCAAGATGATAGATGTAGTAAGGTGCTGAACTTGCAGTTAAAATAACATGAAGAATAAATATTAAATAGATTAAATTACCTGGTACCAGAAACAGATAATGATCACAGGAACGAACACAAGAAACACCTGCCATGCTACCTGAGACATAACCGCAATAATTCCAACTAGTTGTATGATGGAAAATGCAACAGAACCCATCTGGTAAGCGATGTTTGTATCCACTTCGCTTTGATCAGTTGAAGCCTAAACAGTTCAATCTTGAGTGAGCAATAATCAAAGTAAACAAATCAAACTTCCCAGGAAATCTGAGGAGATGCAAATGACTTACTCTATTCAAGATGCGCCCACTTGGAGTGGAATCGAAGAAAGACATAGGAGCTCTGAATATGGCCATATGCATCTTGTTGAACAACAGAGTTGCTGTTTTGTATGCAGCTGTCACAAGAAACAGTGCCCTTATGAGGATGCATAGCGAACTTGCAACAGCCAATGCCACGAAGACATAGATCAGTGTCGACGTGCTCACTGGAGGCTCAGCGTCTTTCGACACAGGAGAAGCCCAAGCCATCCAGTAATTGCTAGCAATCTGAAGTACTTGGAAAAGTAGCTGTGCTATCAACACAAATGGTACGAGAGCTCCGCCGTAAGCCAATGTGAGGTATTTCCAGTAGACCCAGAACCCCACCCTGCCTTTTTCTCTTTCTTCTTCCTGCACCAGCTGCCCACTCTGAACCTTGTCACCGTTGTCTTTGCCACTTTGTTTATCTTTCTCTTCAGCTGATGACAATGACCTGGATAGGCTTGAAGAGATTGTCTCACTGCCTCCATTAGCGACATCAATCACATCCAATGCTGTGAGAGCATCTTGGTGAGCACCAACCAGTTCCATTAGCTCTTCCCCTGAACCAAGTATATCGTTGTATTTGCCTGCTTGTGCTATTCTCCCACCTTTCATTACCTACATATAAAATTATTATAAGTAGAATCGAACAATTTATGGCAATAAAATTTACATGAAACATTTGCCAGTGAAATTCTCACCAGAATAAGATCAGCTGAAGGCAGGAATTCAATGTGGTGAGTGACATAAACCACTGTTTTTGAAGCCAAAGCCCCAAGCAAGCATTCCTGCAAATGGAAGAAACCTTAATAAGCACATGTTCTCAAACTCCTATATTGAACAAAAAAAGAATGTATTATACCTTGAAAAGGTGGGATCCTGTATGAGCATCGACTGCGCTGAATGGATCATCAAACAAATAGATGTCGGCATCCTGATACAAAGCTCGGGCTATCTGAATCCTTTGCTTTTGCCCGCCACTAAGATTTATGCCTCGCTCTCCAATGACTGTCTTGTCACCGAATGGCAAGATCTCCAAGTCTTTCTTCAGTGAACACCACTCAAGGACCCTGTCATATTTCTCACTGTCCATCTCCTTGCCGAACAGTATGTTGTCCTGAATTTTGCCGCTCTGTATCCATGCCGTCTGGCTGACATATGCCATTGTTCCGCAAGTCTTGACCTCTCCTGATAGCTTTGGCACCTCACCAAGAATGCAAGAGAGCAAGCTTGATTTTCCAGAGCCGACCGTCCCACAGACTGCAACGCGCATACCTTGCTGAGCTTCAAAATTCAGGTCCTTCAGCGTTGGCAGCTCAGGTGAGCCGTCCCAGGAGAAGCACCCATTGCTGACCTCAATTGCAACATTGGAGCTACCACTTGGTAGCCTCTCCACGGCATCCGTCGGCAACTCCTCAAGGCATAGGAAAGATGCTATCCTGTCAAGAGACACCTTGGTCTGAATCATCATCGAGATTGTGTCAGGAAGGTTGTATATTGGTTCTTGAAGCACCCGGAACGTGGCCAATGCAGACAGCACCTTCCCTGACTCCAATGGTATCCCTAAGAGCATGCAAGCTCCGAAGGTTACCACAGCGACGAAGGTCGGGGCACCCCAGAACACGAAGGTGGCCGCGGTCGATGTGTAAAGGTACTTCTTGAGCCAGCTTGTCTCTGTGGTCCTGAGGTCAATGATCTTGGACAAGAACTTCATTTCCCACCCCTGCAGTTTAAGAATCCTCATGTTGCGCAGGATCTCAGATGTCGCCTTCATCCTGACATCCTTGCAGTCCATGAGCTTCTGCTGGAACTTCTCCTGCATTTTCATGGGAGGCACATTTGCAAGCATGACCACAATGGTGGCACCGAGCGCTGCAAGCGACGCTACCCCCAGGGTGGAGTACAAGATGAACAATGCCATGCCTACTTGGAGTGGTACCAACCAGAGATCGTGCATGTACCATGAGAAGAGGCCGACTCGGTCGGCGTCCACGCTGATGATGTTGATCATCTCGCCGCTGGTGCGGCTCTGTCTGGAGATGCTGGACAGAGAGAGCCCTTTCTGGTACACGACGGAGACGAGCGCGGAGCGAGCACGTATCCCGGCTTGCTGTAGCCGGAAGAACCAGTGCCGTTGTGACAAGCACTCAAACACCTTGGCTACGATGAATGTGACAACAAGGAGCTTCCCCTTGCTGGCGTACCTCTCGTCGCCGTTGAGGTACTGCACCAGGGAGTCTATGAGGTACGGGCCAACGTAGGTGGCCAGGTTGTAGATGAGTGCGTAGAGCGCGGTCACCGCGATGTGCCACCAGACGGTGCGCACAAGGGCCTTGGTGAGCTTGAACGCGGTGAACTTGGGGCCAGACCCGTCGCCGGCTTGCGCCTCCAGGTTCGTCTTGAACGAGGGGAGCAGGCCGGCCACGCTGTCGGCATGATCAAGGTCAGGGACGTCGTCGAGGCCGAGGGCCTTCTTGTTGCCGACGGCGAGCAGGGGTCCCATCCAGGAGAAGGTGAGGACGCTGAGGAAGCCGGCGCTCGTGAAGAGGGAAGCATCGACGGTGTCGTCGCCGCGGCTCTCGCTCGCGCCGTTGAGCAGAGGCTCCTCGGAAGCAGAGCCGCCCGTCGTGTTGGCAGAGAACCCGGCGACGAGTAGCGCCACGCCTGCGAGGACCTCAACGGCGTCGCGCGCCCACGGAAGCGCGGGCACGGGGAGCCCGTAGGAGAGGCTCGTGGCGGCGTGGACGGCGAGAGCGAGGACGGAGAGGAGAAGGAAGAGCGCCCACCAGAGCTTGAGCGGCGCGGCGAAGCGCTCCTCCCCGCGGCCGCGGTACTGGAGCTGCAGGTAGGCCGCGAGCAGCAGCCACGCCACCGCGCGCGCCGCGGTGTCCGCCTGGTCGGCCACCGCGTCGGGCGCCCCCCACCCGGCCCCGCCGCCGGTGCCACTGTTGTCAAGGTACCACGAGACGAGCGAGTACACGCCGAGGAAGACCTCGGACGCCGCCAGAGCCCATGTGGCGCGGACAGCGAACTGTCCCCACCGGAACCGGATGCCACCGCCTCTCACCGCAGCGGCTGATTCCTTGCCGCGGTGGGCGGGGGCGAAGAGGAGCCGGGCCGCGACGGCGAGCGCGAGCAGGAGGTGGGCCCCGGCGCCGAGGCCGTGGAGGAGCGCTGGCCGCAGGAAGACGGGGAGGGCGGCCGGCTCCGCTATCGCTGCCGCGAAAGGCGACGACGACGCCGACGCCACGGTGGGCATGGGTGGGCGCAGGCTGGGTGAGTGGAGCGCCGGAGCGGGCGGGCGGGCGTTATATAGGGGACCGGGCGGCGACACGTGCGGGGAGAAGAGTCGTGACGGCGACGGGGCGGCTGCGGCTGCGGCGCGGCGCGGGTCCTTGGGGTCCAAGACACCTCCCTCCAGCCCACCCCACCACCCCCCGTGCGGCCGTGTCCCTACCCACCCACGTCCCGCCGCGGCCGCGACGGAGGGGAGAATGGGGAACCAAGGATGGATCGGAGGAGAGCGGAGGTGGGAGAGGTGAGTAAATCAAAATTGCGGTTTTGGTGGTGGCGGTGCCCCCGAGCGATCGCAACGAGCGGTGGCGACTGGCGGGGCGGCAGTCGAGATAAATGAGTTGCAGAATCCCGGCCCGGCCGAGTTTTGACTACGCTACGCCTCCCCCGCCCCAAGAGCAATTAGTTAAGAGTATCTTCTACTGCACGGTTTAAAATTCTCCTTCCCAAAACCTGACGACGAGATAATAAAAGGTGGTGGCTCTGTTGGAATTTTCCGAAATGTGGTACTAGTAGTACGCATCCTGTTATTACCGTAGCCCAGATATAATGGCTTCGTTTAACTATTGCCTCAGTTTACTAATATATGGACTGTGCGTAATTTTTCCTTTTTTTCTTTTCAAGAGTATGCGCAGCTTCATGATGATCGTCAAGCCAGAGATAACAAGTCCTGCAGGATCCTTGCATCTTCTTTTCTTCAAGTTAAGTCCAGCAACATCTTTGTCTCCACCTTGTTGGTGAACGTAGCGTATGCCCCGCTCTTGTAATCGCGAAAAAGGAAGTCGGTTCATCTCACGCTGGCACCACATGCGGGTTCGGACGATAGAAACTCTCTCCCGATAATATCGCTGCCCAGCTTTGTCGGTTGTACTACTTCTTCTGTAAATGTACTACAATACAACAGGTTTTCGCTTGTTTTTTGTCTCTCAAAACTTTATATTTTTGTGAGGGTTCATCGAGCTTTTTTTCTTTTCTTTTTTTGCTAGACCATCGAGCTCTTTGTTACTCCATCTAGACCTGGGCATGGGTGGCCTGGCCCGAAGCCCGACATCCATGTCGGGCTCGGGAATCACTTTTCAGCCCGACGTTCAGGCCGGGCTCAGGTTTCATTTTCTAGCCTGAAGCCCAGGAAAAGCCCGACCAAACGTGTTTTTTGATGCTTTTTCTATAAATACAGGTATAGTATGTATTCCTGAAAATAACTATATTGTTATCTTTAAATACGGGGAAATAGGCATATTGCTCAGGCCAGGCCCTGGCTTGGGATTTTGAAGTCGGGCTTTTTGAAACCCGGCCCAGCCCGGAAATGCCCAGGTCTAACTCCATTTCTGGGCTACAATCAGCTACTCCTACAGACCTTGGAAAACAATCGAGTGTATTATGCAACCAAACACCGGTGCATACCCCAACTCTGACACATCTAGCTAATTCATGAGCCACTCTATTTTGACCATGACTAATTTTACGAGGGATAAAAAGCTTGATTCTCCAAAACAGACTTGATCTTAGACACAAAATGGCTATTCCTAGACCGAACAGTGAAATGCTAGTGAGAGCTTGCAAAGCAAGTAAGCAACGGTCCTGTCCATTTCAGGTGGACAGGAAGCTTCGTTCGTCGCAAGGTTAACGACATAACCTTCCATGATTGCGCTTAGTTCGACTTAGAGGACATCACCAAAGTGGAGCCTTCACCGTTTCATCTCTTAGGGTTATATAGGCGGCGCCACATGCAGGGCGGGAGTGGGGGAGGATTGCGACAATGATGACAGTCAAGGGTCCGGCTGCAGTGTGGGCCATCTTCTTGGGGTGCAAAACACCTCCCTACCCCCGGTTCATTTTACCGCGAGTGGCCACCCACCTCTATTGACTGCGACGGGGGATCCCTTTTCACCTCTGCGCCTCAATTAATCCAATCCAATACAATGGGGGAGGATGGAGAGGGGTGATTGACGGGATCAAAGCGGCGGAAGGGGGAGGCCATATCTGGTTTGTATGAATTTCATATAAATCTTGTAGGATTCCAATCCATATGAATTTTCTCTATGGAAGCCCTTTGTATCATAGGAATGGGTTCACCAAAATGTTAAGGAATAAATTCATGTACCCTCAATTCCATAGAAATCCAAAGGCTCCTTAGGTTCATGCCTCTTGATTTGGATTTTTTAAAACGTAGGAATAGAAAAGGCGTAGGTATCATTGTGTCATGTCCTCCTGATTCCTGCATGATTACAAAACTACAAGAATTTGGATGGAAGATGTTTGATAGCACATGAAAATCAAAGGAATTCTACCAAGAAGGTTGAGTGGATGGCAATTTTCCTCCAAAATGTAGTGCAAATGAATCATATGCACTTTTACGAGATAAGGATTCCAATCACGCGATAAAACTATCGTGTATGAAAAAAATTACGAGGATCTAAACGCCCCAAAAATCCTATGAATTTCCTTTGAACCAAAAGAGCCCTTCAAAGAGAAGTTGAGGAGCACCGTAGGATTAGCAAAATTTCTTACGGTGGTATTATTCATGTCTCCGGTTTAAAGGAATGGGCTAAAGGAAAAAAAGATAAAACATTTCTTTGATCTTAGTTTCGGAGGAAAAACATAGTAATTCTAACATACACATGTATCTCCTTTCCAAATTTCTATGCATGAAGAACGAGACTAAGATACTTAGTGGCATAATAACATTCTAACTATATGGCGTCCTTTGGTTATAAGATAGGAGTATCATAAGAATAGGAGCATCATAGGGAATGAGGTGACATGTGTCCCCATTCCTATAGGAAAAGAGGTATCATTTGGTTCACATGATAAGATTTTCTTGTCAAGCCTCAGCTAATGTTTTGTTTCCTTTAAAATGTGAAGGATAGGAACCATTCCTAAACAGGAATAGGAATTCAATCCTACAAACCGGAGAGCTCGAAAGGAAATTTTATTATAGGAATCCTATTGTATAATATATTTTTTTGCATTTTCATGTGGTTTGATTTTGTTTTGAACCATTTATTAGGACTTTTATGTTTTTCCAATTCCTGTGAACCAAACATCTAAGTTGACTGAATTCCTATGTCTAACAATCTTATTTTTAAGCATGCATTTCTACCATGTTTATGTGTTTTTTCTATTTATGCGCTTTTAGAACCATGTGAACCAAAGAAGCCCTAAACATGACTCAAATGTCATTTTATTTTAGAAGTCTATGATGCACTGACACTCTGTCTCTCTCTACTCAATTCCTTGAAATTTTCATGTTCATTTCATGTACACCATTTAAAGATACATCTTATAAAATTCGGCGTTTTGACCGCCTTGTACTCCTTCGCTGGTGTCTCTGCAAACTCTCATCTAGAGTTTTCCTGCCTCTCATCGACACCGGTCCGCCTCGTCTCATATGGTCCTTGGACCATGGAGGCGCGGTGGATCCCAGCCCTTACCTGCGGGAGGGCTCCATTTTTAGGTGTTTTTCTGAGTTTTGTTAGGGTTTGTGACATGCTCAAGAAGACGAGGCGACGGCAGCTTGTTGAAGATGAAATAAGGTTCTCCTCGCCTAGCCCCCATCTCGGGGATGCTTCTAGCATCACCGGAGGGCGTGCAGAGGTGTGTCTTCGGATCTCGTGAGATCCGGTCGGCGTTTGTTTTCGGTGGATCCATCGGGATCCAGTTTTCTTTCATCTGCGTATGTGTGTCTCTAGGTTGGATCCTTCCAATCTATGCTTCTTCATCGGCGACGGTTGTTGTTCCGATGCGCTGGTTCTCTGGGCCCTAGGCGACGTCCTGCTGATTGTCTACTACAACAATGCTTGCCCGACTCCCATGAGGGAGGGTCAATGACGACGGCGCGTCTTCGGCTCGCTCCGGTACTTGTAGTCGTCGCTAGGTCGTCTATGGACGCGGATGCAATTTTTTACTTCCTATATTGTCTGTACTATCTTTTTTTTTAAACTTTCCCTGTACTATCTTGACAGTTGATAAATACAATCAGAATTTTTTCTCGTAAAAAGCCTTTCTATGTTTAAAATTTCTGTAAAATTCATATGACATGGCATTTCAGTATTACGTTTTTTCTTATTTTAGAATCCTGCAATTGAAGGAAGCCTCCCGACCGATTGAACTGTTTTCGGCCCCGGAAACAAGCGGTGGCGGCAGTCGAGGAGATTAATTAGGGAATCCCGGTCCAGTCGGGCTCCAGGGGTTCTGACTCTCCTCTCCCGCCCCCAGGAGCCGTACTGTTCTTCTTCGGTTTAAAAAACAATCTCTGTATACTCCTTCCAAAATGTGACGACGAGACGCTTCTGTGTCACCGTGTGTGTAGTGATCTGTGCATAAAAACTAATGCAGCTTTGATCGGGGCCTTGATCGGAGAAGAGTAGACCGGATGCAGCTTTGATCAGCGGAGAATCTGGAAGTGCAGACAAAACAAGTCCAGTGGTGGAGTAGTAGCAGTTTCCAAATGTACTCTAGTGCGCGTGTCCCACTCCGTGTCTGTGAGTTCATCTGACGCTGCAACCACATGTTTCAAAATAAGTGTCTTAATTTTGTACTAACTTTAGTATAAAATTATATTTATTAAAATTAAGATACTTATTTTAGGACGGAGCAAGTATAATATAAGATTTTTTATTACATTCAATATGACTATAGTTAAGTAAGGATAGATTAGTAGATCATCCCTGACGAACTAAAACTAAGGCCTCCTTTAGTTCATAGTTCATAGGATAGGAATAAAAATCATAAAAAAGTGAGAAGACATGCCTCTCAATTTTTATAGGGAAAGATATGTCACTTGATGCATATGATAGTGTTTTTTTTTCATTGAGTCTAGGCTATTGTTTTTTTAAACGTGCAGGATTGCTTCCTATCCTACATGGGAATAGGAATCGAGCACACTAGTAAATTTTTGAACTAGGTATAGCTACTCCTCCTGGCTCTCGCGACGCCCCCTCACGGGCGACGAACCTTAGACTC